TGCACCACTGCACCCAGCTGGAAAATTTGTTTTCAATCTAAATTGTGATAAAGTTTCACCGTTTTAAGGTATTGATTGCAAGGCTCAATTGGAAATGATGTTGGTAACCAATTAATTGGTTCAGGTCTCCAGAGGGCTCGTCCTCTCCATAAGCCAAAGTATCTGTTACTGTTAGGAATTGGGAAAAGTAAAGGTTGGCTTTTGGGTTTTTTTCCCTTCAACACAGGGTCTCACTCTGTAGCCCAGCTGGAGTGCAGTGGCACAGTCACGGCTTGCTGCAGCGTCAACCTCCTGGGCTCAAGTGATGCTCCTGACTCAGCCCCCTAAGTAGCTGGGACTACAGGCAAGCGCTACCATGCCCAGCTAATACGTGTTTTAGTTGAGATGGTTTCGCCATGTTGCCCAGGCTGGCCTCAAACTCCTGAGCTCAAGCGATCCACCTGCTTTAGCACCCCAAAGTGTTGGGATGAGCCCCTGCACCCTGCCTGGTTTTGAAAGTTACTATGGTTATCTACATTGATAACATTGAGAAAAGTTGAGTAAACACTGTACTGTTACTGAGAACTTTTCTGTGAGGTTCTGTTAGGATGCATTTCAGGATCCTACACTGCACTTGGTTGTGTCTCCTTACTTTCCTCCAATCTGTGATGGTCTCTTAGTCTTTGTCTTTTCATTGTAAAGATGGGCTTTAAATATTTAAGGGGAGTCACATTAAAAGATTGTCATTAGGAATGCAGTTAAATTACTAAGAAAGTGATCTAAGCTACATAAACAATCTGGATGTGAGAGATGGGTAGTAATAGGGTAACAAAAGGTTTGTGGAGTAATATCACGTTACCTTTTTACAGGCACCTACAAAGGCAGCACCTAAGCAAAAGATTGTGAAGCCTGTGAAAGTTTCAGCTCCCCGAGTTGGTGGAAAACGCTAAACTGGCAGATTCAATTTTTAAATAAAGATTGCATTATAACTCTAGGTTGTGCTGGATTTTTTTTTTTTTCTTGTAACAGGCATGTTGGATTTACATGGTCATAGGTGACCTAGTAAAGAATGTAAGACATAGGTATTATATTAAAAAGTCTATTGCTCAGGAATAATGCATCCTTTTCAATAAGTAAATTATTAAAAGTATAAATAGTCTTCATAGGAGACCTTTTAAAAAAAAAAATGTTATTTAGATGGATAATGGTGATAGCTACACAGCGCTATGAATGTACCTAAGGCCACTATACTTTTTTATTGAGACGAGTTCTCTGTTGCCGAGGCTGGAGAGCAGTGACAGGATCACAGCTCACTCCACCTCAACCTGGGCTTAAGTGATCCTCCCACCTCAGCCTACCCAG